CGGTCCACCAAGGTGGTGGCAGGCGATCTTGATAGTTGAACCCGAGCTCAAGGCTCTCTAGGCGACTTCCAACTTGCTGCAGGCAGAAGACTCCTTGCTGGCCTATGCAGTTGAACTTCAGATTTAAATGCCTCAGCGACCCATTGCTCCTAAAGTGCTAGTGGTAGTGGTAGCGGTAGCGGTAGCGGTAGTGGTAGTGGCAGTGGCAGTGGCAGTGGCAGTGGCAGTTGAAGTGGTAGTGGTAGTGGTCGTCGTCGTCGTCGTCGTCGCCGGCGTCGTCGTCGTCGTCGTCGTCGTAGTAGTAGTAGTAGTAGTACTAGTAGAATAGTAGTAGTAGTCGTCGTCGTCGTAGTCGTAGTCGTAGTAGTACTAGTAGTAGTACTAGTAGGAGGCGCCTCCCCCACTCCCTACCAACGACACTTGCATTAAACCATCTTAAGAGCACATCCATTTTACTCGTTATGTGCTGTACTTTTCTAACATCCTACCACTTCTTGTTGTCTCAAAATCAACTTGTCGACTTTGCAAACTCGAGCTTCGGATTTGGAAGGTTTCGGGGGTGTGGGGGTGGGGGGTAGGGGGAGTGAGGGTGGGCGGGTGGGGGGGGAGGGGCAATGACGACACGCGTGCACTGACGTGCATTTTACTCGATATTTACAGTGGTCGTACTTGTAGTCGCAATCACAGTCAGAGTAGTGGTCGTCGCGGTCGTCATCAATCGTCGTATCCTAGCAGGTGCCATTCCTCCTATGGCCGAGATGCAAGCCATGTGGTGGTGTCAGCGGTTGCAGAACCAAGTGGAGGAGTTCTCTTGAGGGTTAAGGGTTTAGGGTCTGAGGCCTGTAGAAAGTAGCGGACCGTTTTATCGACCCCGGATAGTAGGATCCTTACCACAATTCCCTAAATCCGGTAACCCTAGCCTAAGAACCCACCTCTCCCTTAGTCGGTAAACCCGAAACCCTAAACTCCAATCCCAAACCGAACCTACACCCCAAGACCTAAACCCTAAACCCCTCTGCCACAAAGCCCTAAACCAAATCAAAGATGTTTCTCGGATCTTCACATTGGCTGTTTAGACCTACGGTTGATGATATCAATCCTGCATGACCCATAATAAGAAATATACCCATAATTCCCATAGTTTAGGGTCCTTAAGGCATTGCAGGATTTATATCATCAACCCCCAAACCCCTACACCCTAGACCTTAAACCCCTAAACCCTAAACCCCTAAACCCTAAACCCCTAAAGCCCTAAACCCCATGGCAGTATTTCTGCTAGGAGGGTAGCTCCCTGGATCGCGCCTGCTACCGGCTGAAGGGCTCGAGGCTCTGCTACGGCGCCTTCACCGCAGAGCTTTTTTGGGGTTTTCTTTAGGGTTTTTAGGGCTTTTAGGGATTTTAGGGTTTAGTGTTTAGGGTTTTGAAGTTTAGAAGCGTTGAGTTTAGGGATGTACGATTTCAAGTGTTGGAGTTTAGGCATATAGGAAGCCTTAAACCCTAAACACTAGCACTAGCACTAGCACTAGCACTACCACCACGACTACTACGACGACGACTACTACTAGTACTGCTATACTAGTACGACGACGACGAGGACGACTGCGACTACGACTACGAATAACAGGACTATCAATAACAATCAGCATAGTGATCATGTCTTCGACTACGAAGATGGAGACGACGACCACGAGAGCGACACTACGCTGCCTGCATGCCCTGCGTCATCGTTTTCACGTGTGGCCCTTGTCACTGCCACTAGGGATTCTCAAAACGGGCACAAATCTCAACCCTCCCGATCATGAGCGGGAAAAACAGCATGACACAGCAGCTCTGCCAGGAAACCAGAATCCTGCAATCCTGCGGTCTGGCCACTCAACGTCAAGGTACAGAGGCACAATCTGTAACCTTCAAGTCAACAAAAATACCCCCGCTAGACTCTGAAGATCTCTGAACCCTAACTCCCATAAACCCTGAACGCCCCAACCTTAGTTCAGAAATCCTGAGTCCCTGTCCGACCTACGTTGGGCCGGATGAAGCCTCGGAAGCCAAAACGAGTTCGCGGGATCGGACTAGTGACTAGTGGGTGTCAGAGCAGCACTGGGCGTGCGGGGCTTCATGGTTGTATAGTAGAAGCCCAAAAGTTGGAAACCCAATAGCCTCAATCCTTAAGAGTAATGTATAAGGAATCCCAGCACTATTTGTCCTTAATCAGGTTTCCAACTTTTTGGGGTTTACTATATAGTTGTGTGGGGAGTTTAATAAAAGAGTCCTTTTCCAATCTAGGGTCCCTTTCTAGGTCCCCACTATAGTACGGCATCCTTATAAAAAGGACCCCAAAAGGGACCCTAATTGAGAGAACTACCCAGAAGGGGTTTCAGAGGGCCTGGCAGTTTGGGGCTCAGGGTTTAACGACTTCTTGTTTGGAGCATGCAGGTTAAGGCCTACGCCGTTTACTTCCGAGGTCTAGGCTTGAGGTTCTCAGGGGCACGGGATTCAGGGACTGGAGGTTTTAGGATTTATAACCCTAAACCTTTTTGGTTTAACCTTATTAACCCTATAAATCCTGAACCCTAAACCCTAAACCCTAGGGTTTAGGGTTCTAGGATTCCGGATCAAGATACGTGGTAGGGGCTTAGCGCCTGTTTAGGTGACCTTCTGCACTATGGCGTTGTGCATTGCATCATGGTATGTTGTATATGTGGGTTTAGCTTCGGGTTTAAGGCGTGGGGTCTAGGATTGCAGGCGTACATTTGCACTACAAGGGTTGCAAGCACCTTCCCAAGGGAAAGCGCGCCGGCGTCCTCGCAGTGGTTCATTGCAAGGCTGAGAGTTTTCAGTGCGTGATCAGACATCAAAGCCTCTGCCAAAGACACGACATCTTCATCTTGCAGCCTGCAATCTTCAAGGATCAGTTCGCTGAGGCAGTGCCTGTTTGAGCCGTTCCCTGTCAGCCCTTCGGCCAACTTCTTGAAAGCAGTGGGATGAAAGTCGACACTGCAGAACTTCAGCGTCCGCATGCTGCGCTTGCACAGGAGATCGCTGATCAAAGCAACGCTGCTCTTGAGATCGATGACCGACCTTCGCAAGTCGAAGTTCTGCAATTTCTTGTAGTCATCGTCCGGTAGCTTGCCGCTCAAGAGCATGGGCAGCATGTGCACCGCAAATGTCTCAACCCGAAGGGCTTTATCCTCGAAGACCTGCTTCTGCAAATCCAAGACCAGCTTTAGGTCTTCCTTGTGTGTGAACCGGATCTGCTGCTTCTCCGCCATCGTCTGGAATTCTGACGGCGTCAGGGGCACTGTGGAGCTTGGCTTCAAGATCTCTGGTGACAAATCCATGCTATGGTAGGCGGCAATCAGATCGGATTTCTGTGCTCTGCAAGTCTCACAGCTGCTGCAGCTGCCAGAAAAGGAAGCAGGTGGAGAAAAACAGCCCGAGCATTGCCCACCATCACAAGACTCATCGCAAGACCGACCCAAGCTGCCATGGCCAATGCCACGCAAGTCTTGGCACAAAGAGTAGGACGGCCATGAAGTGCATGAACGACACACATGCCCAGAGTCAAGAAAAAAGAAGATGCAGCAATCGGATGCCAGGGTTGCTCTGCGAGTGGCTTGTGCAGCTCTTTGTTCGACAACAGTGAGGAAGCAACACAACAAGCACCCGACCTGAGGATGGAAGAACCTGTCAAAGCGTGAGAGACAACCCTTGACCACTGAGGTCAGGGAACCAAGGATCATGCGTCTGACTCACTGATAGGTCGACTATATCCGGCGCGGCCCATTCCACTTCAGCGAGGCACCACCCACGTCGGTTGTACTCCGTGGGGTTACAGTGGAGGTTGGGACATCGGTCGAAACAGCCTGGACCACACTTCCCACTTGGCGGTCCCCAAGTTGCAGGTGTCTAAGCGGCACTGTTACAACTTTGCCTTTGTCCCCTTCGCCTGCAGCGACGCTGTACACCGGAATGCCTTTGCAGCCGCAGGTGCCGTAAACGAACTTCTGCAGTCTCCAGAAAGGTGTGCGACAAGGAATGGACCAGACACCTTTGCAAAAGCTTGCACTGGTATTGCAGAAAAGCAGATGCATGTGCTGCGTTCGTTCTGCGACGGAAACATATCTCATCGTGGTCCGAGCGCCTGAACTGAGGCAAGGAAATATAGCCGATGAAGAAGCCTACATCGTTCCACTCCTCTCGTGGCCTATCAAGGCTGAAGCTAACAGCGTGGCCTGAAAGCCGAAGGGATCGGGATGCTCGCGTGCTTCCCACATGTGGGACAGCGCGATGAACTTGGTCGGTTTCGAAATCAAGGCGTCTTTAACTTTAGCTGCCTCTTGTCTCCGTGGCCACACCTCCCCTTGTTCGTGCAGCTGTACCAAATATGCTGCGCGGACAAACTTTATGTCAGCCCATTTTATGTACTTGTCGAAGTCTGCGCGTGAGCCGAGGACAAACTCCATGGCCTTGACTACTTCGCCTGCTACTGCAGCTTTAAGGTCTAGGCTCTTCCACTGTGTCAGTAGCAGTGACAGAAAAGGTTAGAACTGCTCGGAAACTGATGTACACAAGAACGCTGCAAACCAGGAACAAGTCAAGATCTCCTTCTGCTGCGAGATTGCCAAGCATTCACCGGCATGGCATTACCAGCAAGACACGCAAGTTGCCGAATGAGGGGCCAGTCAGCTTGTTGGCATGGACTGAACAGCACCAATTGCAGTGGCTGGGAAGGGCCCACCAAGCCCTGGGTTCTCAACGCACGAATGATCAAAGCCTGACCCAAAAAAAGGAACACCCGCTGCTTTGAAGGTCCGAAGGCCCCGTTCCCTTTTCTGAGGAGAATGTCGTCATGCGTACTGCCGATAGCTACCCAAGCTCTGTTCGCCCTTTTCGGAACTTCTTGTGCGACCACTTCCGCGCCGCTCGCCAGTTGTGGCGTGATACAGAGCGACACACGAGCTTCGACAACTACAGAACACTTGCGCAAGCTAACACCGTCGTCAGGGTTCGCAAGGTGCTTGCTTCAACTCACTTGGTGCATCAGGGAACCTCTGCGGCTTAACAAAACTCTCAAATTCGAGAGGAGTATAATAAACAACCTCTATTTTTGAACTTGGGGCACTGCAGTTACGACAATCCCGTGAGCATCCTTTGTGCTCACATTGCTTGCTCAGCCATTTCCCCCCACACCTTGAACACCTCTTGACAGGAGCATAGGGTTCTTGACGGGCTTGGTACACACTTCTCCAATCGTTTTCTGGCTTCGATCTTGATATCCTTCGAAGGTAATAGTTCACCACCAGCCATGCAAGTAACAGAACCAGGCCAGCACATTTGTCGACAGAGCTGGGGTCTTCAACAATGCCATCCATGTACTGTAGTATCACCGTTTGCAGCACAATCGCCACTTGAAGGCCACAAGCAAAAATCACGTATTTGTCCGCTAATGTGAAGTAGTCCTTGCGCGGAAGCATGGCATCAAGAGTATAGCGGTAAGCCATGACTGCAAGGAAACAAGTGCTCGAATAAGCAAGTCTTCCACTGACATCTGCCAGGGGAATCACCAAAGTACATAGACTGACGATGATGACGAGAAAGACCATAAAGAGCATCGAGTGAAAGTAGAAATCACCTCACAGAGCAAGCACTGGCTGCAAGCTTTCTGATGCTTCTGGCTAGCGGCTAGCATTATGCGCACAATTACATTGCCTGCAACACGGTTGGTCCAGAACTGACTTTCAGAAAACAACGCCTTTGCGCTCGAGGTGGAAAACGGCATTCACGCAAGAGCGCTGCAGCTGGTACGGAAACTGCCTGCAGTATGGAGCAGCACACAGGGTACGCGGGTACGCTTTCGCCTTACGGTTTGTGGTCCTACAGTATGGTGGTTCCTGGCTTGACGTTCGACAGTACCGGGCCAGGATCTTCACAGAATGCACCGTATTTGCTACAACATTTGCAGGAAGATGCGTCAGCGGTCAAACGAAGGCCCACCTGTCCAAGTAGCGCACGTAGACCGTGCACTTCTTCTGAATTTCTTCGTCCAACGTCCACATGTCGCACATCTGCGGGCTGGAGAACCACTTCTTGACCGGCACGAACCTAGGATGTTGCGAGGGTCTGCAGGACTGTAGGACAACGAGCAGGACCAAAAAGTTATTTCTGTCAAGCAGCTGGAACTCGTCGGCAGTTTTTTCGGCTGTCAGCCTAATCCTGCAATGGCACACCCACACGCACACATGTGCACATGCAACGCATGTGCTCACGAGCACACACACACACACACACACCAAAAAAGAACGAAAGAACAAGCACCCTGTGCGGAAGCTACAGAATCTTCAAGATTGTCCTGCAGAGCTGATGGTCTTTCGGGAAGTTTGTAAGATCGAAGCATTCTTTGAATGTCGCATCATACTTGACTGTGTAGGAAACAAATCCCCCTTCGTCGTTGCACCAAAGCAGCTTTCTTGTCCCCGCCGGCGCCGGGTCATTCTGCATGTTAATAAAAGAGAATGTGGGAAAGAAGCACTCTTTCCACTCGGGTTCCCTCAAGCTGAGGTAGTCGCGTCTGAGTTTGATCTGAGTCTTCTGTTCAGGATCAGAAAGGTCTATGAATTCGATGTCGCCGTTTGCATACATCTTCGTAACCACGACTTCAAGCTGCTGCAAATGAAGCTTTGTCTCGCCTTTTGGGTCACGAACAGTGATGACCGATTTGAAGTTCTTGAGGTCGGGATCCAACCAAGCGAGCTTGAGCATGAAGACCATCCGAAATCTTGGCTTCTGCATAGAGCCACTGCAAATCATTTAAGTCATTTCATGCAGTACAAGTGGCAAATCAAGTGCAAAGAGCCGGTTCGTTCAGTCGCACGCGGTTTCGAAAATCACATACCTTCTTAAATCAACAAACGCTAGACAAGTTGTGGCTATTTGCTGGTCAGGGAGCTCCTCGCGATGATCATCGACTGTTTTCAACTCGTGCCCGACTATGTCGATGTAAACCTTCACAGCCTCTGTGCAATCCACCAGAACGCCACCGTCACGGTCATAGCAGTTCCGGTAGTAATTCTGAAGCACCTTCGCTCTTCCCCGTCAGACTCAAGACCTTGAACCTTGAAGCTGTCCCTAGGATGAGAGAGTAGATGCATGATGCCACCCGAATCAACTCAATTCCGAGTGTCACAATACAAGTCGACGCATGCGCAATGAGAAGCTTCGTGTGCGCTAAAAAAGTAGAAGACAAACCACTCTCCACAAAGCCTCAATGTGCAAAGATGTGTGAGACTTCAACCCTTCAAAGGCTCAAAAACCGTTAAACGCGAAGCACACACCGCAGGTTCAGTGGAGGTGCGCCATCGTTATCGTCTCCGTAGCCCTCAAGCGGAAGACACCTCAAATCGGGATCCCACACAGTCTCAGCGCTTGCTGCTTGAATCCTGCCCATGGCGCAGATGCATGGCGTGCACAGAGCCCTCTATGCAAGTGCAGGAACACTCTTCGTTGTGCAGTGACCCTGCAAGTCGAGAAGACAATCTGCTCCGACATAACATCTGGAGCTTACTCTGATGATATGGCTTGTGAGCGACACCGAACAGATCTGGCTTCATTGGCTGTTTTACCTTGCTTTAGCTGCAAATCCCTTGATCAAGATTGAAGTCCATGCTTAGGTTGCAACATAAGCACAAGCTGCGTGACATCCTCAACCAACTTACATGCACATTCCCATCTGGGGTCAGGCAGCGAAACGGCTGAAGGTGAATGCTTCGCCCAAGAGGCTGTTATCTTGCGATATACAGGCATGTGATGGCTTTGCTTAGACCACCAGCTGGCTTTCGACCCCAGAAACTCTTACAGGAAAACCCTAAACCCTGAACTCTGTTTCCAGAGCTCGAAAGCTGCAAGCTCCTCTGCACTAACACTCACACTATGGGCAGTTCCTGGGAAGCTACCTCTTAATATACTCTAAAAGGTTAGAATAGGGCTTTGTGGTATTTTATGCGATAGCTAGACAAAAAAATGACAGTGCTAAATACAAGCTTCCATGTTACACCCTCAGCGCACCTTGCCAGGGTCGTGCGCCGTGCGTCACCTCGCGGCAAAAAAGCAGATCGAAACACAAGTATCTGACACTCACCCGAACGGCGTCCTCGAAACCAAAACCGTCAGATTCGAGCATGTGTTACATTGAAAGCAACTTCCCTGTATTCCGGGCACAAGGCGTGATTGTGCGACGGACTCATCTGCGACCTGGGCTCTTCTTCTCTCGCAGAAATGACTTCAGCTTGCTGGCTCCACGGCTCCATGAACAGTAAATGACTGTGTCTTCCGAAGCTAGCCAGCTAGCCGGTTTCGGGGTATGTATTCCTCCACCCTCACTAGTTGGTTGCCGCACACGTCTGTGCCGCTGCGAGCCTCTTTGGGCTCTGGTCGGGCTTATCAGCCTATCAGCAGCACATCTTATGGCCCTTCGAGCCGGAAGAGAACTTTCAGCGCATCAACCAACAGATCGGCATGACAGAACTCCACAAAACAGTACATGCTCGCTTTCCGAGCCATAAGCAGAACCGGCAGGAGCGCACCTGAAATAACGAGGTCCAAAACAGGCCATCCGCGAAGCAGCTGCAGGAGACAAACCACACCCAGGGCTAAAAGAACCCAGAAGGCGTTCAGAAGCATCAACCAATTGCTCTCATAGACCTTGTTGACAAGCATGGCCTCTTTGATCATGCATGTGTCCCACAGCAAACTTAGTACTGGAATCGTGTGCACCAGCGGATGAGCTTTGTCAAACTGAGCATAGAGCAAGACCAGAAGTGTCGCAAAGGCTCCGATCCAAAATCCGTCTTTGCCATCGTACATGTATGTGCAGTGCATCTCTGCCATCACCCACAGAACGCCAATGAGCACAGCAAGCCAGGGCTCCAGCTGCTCCAGCCCTGCAAACACAACCTGGGTTCTGCTTGAGGGATTCTAATTTTTGCTACCCAAATAAGGGAACCATATCATTTACTATAGACCCCTACTATGGGAACTTAAACTACCTTTCTTTGACAAGAGCCCAGCAACCATGAAGATGATCTCCAAGGTGAGCATGACGGGGCCTGCCACAACAGATCCGACAGCGAGCGGTAGCTTGGAAAAAGCCACCGCGTACTTGTCATGCATGAGCTGGAGAATGTACAGCTGGCAGTTGTGAAAGAGAATGTCATAAAAAGATCCATTCATTGATACTTGCTGTGACCGGTGGTAGAGCTGAAATGGTGTTGTTTTCTCGATTTCAATCCAGTAATGACCTTTATCGTCTCCTGCCATAATGTCGCTGAAGCGTCCGCTCAGCGCGATGAAGTCGACGATGCACTTTTGAATACGCTCGCGTTGCTCTCTAACCCCAGAAGCAGAAGGCTCGCTGCAAACGGCGTCTAACACTTTTTCAACTTTTAAGCTTAGCGAATCTGCCGAAGTAGAGAAAGGCAGCAAGCACTCGTACTCGTTGGTCTCTTGCTCCATGTTGGCACCGCTTACCTGTCGGTCAAAACCGACCGAATCCGAAAAGTCCACGAGCAGGGAGGTCGTCTGCTGGCAACAGTCCGCAGTCCTGGAGCTGGATATGCCACACTTGGCTGCCGTGGCTGCAGGTAGCAAACGACGCATCTTGCCGTTGGATTCATTCCAACGATACCCCGTCTCGCTTTCGACTGCAGTCAGCTCAACCGCAAAGACTTCTCCTGAAACTGCGAACATCCACAGAGAAGCCCAATGCGAGGCCTTGCCAGCCCCGACAATCAGCACGAACGCCTTCTGACGATCGTGATTCCGCAAGAGGTGAATAGAAGACGGCGAATTTGGTGTCACTAAGCCTGGCTCCCAGCCGTGCTGAGCATTTGGAGCACACCGCCCCGTCAGGGCCATTGAAGGATGCACTGTCATGGCTCCTCCCGGAATCCTACGAAGCAGCAGATTGCCAACACAAGGATGCCGGAGCCACTGTAGTGTCCATGCACAGTATGACGTGGCCGTAACACGATGCAAAAGCAATTGCAGCGCAGGCTAAAGACATTTCTGCAAAACAGGGACAAGCCAGGGCCTCACATGAAGTTACCGCAACTGATGAAACCGTCAGCCTCTCCTCTAGTGGAGACATCCCATGACTACTTCAGTACTGCTTCTGACACGCAATGCCGAGGGTCCGGACAGAATGCGAAACGGCGAACCTCATCAGACGTACACATTTTGAAAGAAAGCCCCGTTGATTCCTGCTGTTGCTGGAACATGAACATCGGGATGATCCCAGGCGCCCGGCTCTCACTTTGAGCTTGGGCACCTCTAGACTCTAGCTGCTCAGATCCGGGAGACATGTCGCATGATATGTTGTGTTATAACACCTGTTCGCTCCTTCGTGTATGATATCACATCACACTTTGTAATACCATGGTTCGGTTTGCATGCAGACTACAAGGCTTTCTTTGGACTCGGACCACATGGATTTCTTACCGGTGTGGGAGGCCTCTGCGAGGCAGGAACCTTCGGCACACACCGCTTATGCACTGTCAGAAAGCTGCCAGAACTTCTGCATTTCTACCGATAGTGGAGGCAGGTCGGGTCGGCTGAGAAGGTATGGAGATCCACAAGCATCACAAGGCCGACCTGTGGAGATGACGGAGTTGCTCCAGCGCGAGTGGCGTTTGTGGCCATGGCACTGCTGGGCAAAGCAATAACTTGCGGATCCTTAAACCCTAAATCCTAAACCCTCCACATGTCTACAAGATGCTGTGCAACAGAGGCGGACGGACGGTCGCGAAGACGCTTGAGGTTGAAAGGTGAAGCTTGCGGATGTACATGCTTCACATGCGTCTTGCACTTGTCCAAGGCACTAAACTTCTCAAAGGATGTTCCGGTGACAGGAAAGCTGCGGGTTGGCAAGCTCGCGAAGCTCGCAAGTTTCGCACCCAAGTTGATCTACATCCACTTCGCACTGCAGACTTTTACACCCTGGAGACGTTGAACTTGACCACCCTCGTGCGATGCAAGCAGCACGCCAGCAACTAAGTAGCTCTCATGTGCCTCAGTAGCTCAAAACTGGAAACTCTAAGCCCTAATGCTTTAAGCGGAACTCATAAAGGAACCCAAGGAGGACCCCTTCAAGGAACCCGTAAATCCTTCAAAGAAAACCCACGTGCTTCCGGCCCAGCTTGGGTCCGACGGATGTGAGGATTTCGATATGGTTAGCTCAAAATATTAGGGTTTAGGGTTTAGGTCTCCGGGTCCAACAATAGTATGGCAGCCTTGTAAAAGGGTTGTTGATGCTCTCGCTTTTCTGGGCCCGGCTCTTGCTGGCATAAGCTTCAGCGTCCAGCGCTTAGGACTTAGGGTTTACCCTAAACTCTAAACCCCAAAAACCGAAAACCCTAAACCCTGAAAGTTGTTCTTTCGGGCCTTGCGGGCTAGGACACCCAGCTGAAGTTTGGGCAGGCGCCAGCCCTCATTGCTTAGAAGCCCTTGAAGGTAGCCCTTCTAGAACGCTTTCAAGGGACCCTGCTTGGTAAGTAGAGGATTAAGTAAGTTATCTATAGACATGTTTGGTTACAAACCCCAATTAAGGAGCCGCTGAGCCTGCTTGCTACAGCAAACAAAAAGCTTTTGGGGGCCGATAGCCGGCAACTTTGCGGCAGCGACGCTGTTGCAGCATCTCATCGGGGTGGTGCTGCAGTGACGCGAGCCTACCTCTCCGCCTCCTTCAATCTTCCAGCTCGTGTGCAGGGGGCTCTTTAAGCCTGAAGAGAACGATCAACGACTCCAGCAGAATGTCGGCATGGAAAAACTCATCAAAAATGAAGGTCAACATTCGCCGGTTTCCCCGAGCAAGCAGTACAAGCTGCGGAAGGGCACCTGAAATCACCAGGTCTATAACGGGCCATCCGCGACCCACCTGCAACAGACAAACCACGCCCAGGGCTAAAAGAACGCAGATTGCGTTCAGAAGCATTAACCAGTGGCTCTCGTAGACCTTGTTGACTAGCATCGCCTCTTTCACCATGCACACATCCCACAACAGACTGAGTACTGGAATGGTGACTACTAAGTGGTGCCTTTCGTCAAACATAGCGTAGATCAGGATAAGAACGGTAGCTAAAACGCCGCTCCAGAACCCGTCGCTGTGCTCGTACATGTATGTGGCGCGCATCTCTGCAAGTATCCACAGGACTCCAACAGACACAGCCAGAGAGGCATGCACCTGCTCCAGCCCTGAGAACACTGCCATGAAAATAACCTCTAACGTGAGCATGAGTGGACCGGCTACAACACTTCCTACAGCCCGTGGCAGCTGCGAGAATTCCACCTTGTACTTGTCATGCATCAGCTGGAGTATGTATAGCTGGCAGTTGTGAAAGAGAAGATCGTAGAAGGATCCGTGGAGCGACACTTGCTGCGAACGGTGGTACAGTTGAAAGGGTGTCGTGCTTTCAACCTCCATCACTCCGCTCCTACTCTCAGACACGAGGTCTCCTGTCATGATATAATTGGACTCTCCCCCCTGGGCAATGAAGTTGACGATGCATTCTTGGACTCGGTCGCGTTGTTCTGCTATGCAAGAATCGGCGGAAGCCCTGCTGCAAATGTAGTCCAGCGCTGCTGCAGCTTGCGCTTGCAGCAGGGCTCGAGAATCTGTGCAAGGCAAAAAACAATCGTACTCGCTGTCCTCGTCCTGAACCCGGTTGGCGCTTGCTTCCTTTGCAAAACCAGCAGGAAAAGGCCAGCTAGTTGATGTTGCTGTCAACTCGAAAAAAGCTTGTGTATTGTTTGATGTCGCACCGATGCAGGTGGCACTGGAGGACAGCAAATGGCGCATCTTGCCACGGGCTCGGCGCCACCGGTACCCAGTTGTGTCTTCCACTGCAGTCAGTTCTACTGAGAAAATATCTGCTTTCGCCTCAAATATCCAAATGGAAGCCCAATGCGATGCCATGCCGCCCCCTACAATGAGGACGAAGGCCTTTTGACGGTCAGAGGGACACAAGACGTCAGAAGAGTCAACTACGTCTGGCTCACAGCCACCAGTGTGAGGGACTGACTGCCCCACAGAGACCATGAGTGATTGCAGAGCCATGGTTGGCCCCGCGTCCACTATCACGGTTGCGATGCTTCAGTCTCTGGTAAGTCGCTTCTTTACTTGCGTCACAGGTCTACATAAGCACTTCTAAAATCTCCATGCATGCAAAAGAGGCTGAGCAAAAACTTTCAGCAGTCATGGGCACAGAGTCGATTTCCGTCTACAGCCCACAACATGTGAGCATGGCATGAAAAAAACCCTGCACAAAACCCATGATGTGCGACTTGAAGCCCTAGCCGAAAATCAAACCACAACCCTGCAATGTAGCTGCAGGATTCGAATCAGCTTGGTGTCAACCCCCAAAATCACCAGAGCAGAAACACTCCCAGCTTCAGGCTGGTTCTTGCTGGAGGCGCACATTCAATAAGCTTGAGATGTGGAACTCTCATGCGTTTAATCCTGGCAGGTCGTAGAAGCTGGCAAATCGGGTGTGATGGCGTTGCCGATTCCTTCAATTATCTCGAAATGCTGCAATGACGTGAAAGACCTGCGGATACCAACATGCCTTCGAGGTCAGCAATCTCCCTAATGGGTTTAGAACTGCGATTGCACGGCCCTTTGGTCAGCGATCATGCGCTTCGACTTCTTTGCAAGGTCAGGCTTGCAGGGATTGGAACGCGAGTATGAGGGCGCGACAGCTTTGCCAAGCTCACGCCGGCCTCCCGCTGAGATCATCCTTGGGATCCTGCATGCGCCGTGGGGCGCTGGAGGCAATCACCCATCTGCTCAAGCAGGGTTGCTGCACTAGAACTTCGACAAGTTCGACAAACCGTGGAGATGCAAAAGTGATACTTCGTCAATCTCCACCACCATCGGTGATCCAGCTTCCTAGCGTTCGGGGTTCATCTGACATCGTCACTTCTGTGTTCCGGCAGGAGCTCGCTTCAAATGAAATGGCGCATTGGGGAAATCTTGCGCGGCCACGAGAGGGACTTCGAGATCCCATGGGGTTTTGTAGATGGTCTTGATGCTGTCACCTTCGCCATAGCAAGTTGGCCAGTTAACGCAGCGTTTCGTGGGACTCTTGTGTTCACACTGCTTGCTGAGCCACTGCTCTCCGCATTCTGAGCACTCATTGACTGGAGCATACGGCTCACGACTGGCTTGGTACACCGCTTGCCAGGCTGCTTTCGCGTCAGTGTCACGTCTCCACAGCCAGCGCAGCAAGCAGTTCACGGTCACCCATGCAGTCAACAGCGCCAAACCAATGCGTCGGTCAGTCAGCGTTGGATTTTCCAGGAATTCGAAAAGTTGAAAACACAACGTCTCAATAACAAGCAGCACTTGAAAGGTGCACGCAAAGATAATGTATGCATCAGCCCCTGTGAAATACCTTTTGCGAGGTAGCCTGTCGTTGATGATGTACATGCATGCGAAGACCGCGAGAAGGCAGGTGCTCAAATGCTTCAGCCGTCCGCTCACATCGTCAAGTGGGATGCAGAAGGTACACAGGCTAAAGACATTCACCAGAAAGATTAGGAGCAGCACGCCGTCCAAGTAGTACTCACCTGTCATCAAAAGGAGATACGCAAACCAGGTTGCTTGGACTACCTGCACAGCACATTACTAACTGCCAATCACAGAATGAAATCAAAGCCAAGGGTTGTCACCGTCCCGTTCCAAGTGATACACAGCGTTCACGCAAGAACGTTGGTTCGCAAATGGCAGGTACCTGTGCCAAGCGCGAATTCAGGATAGCTGACTACAAGAACAGTTCTGATTTGCGCAGGTGGCTGCTTCACAATATCTCTGACACTCTTTCTGGCACCAGCTCTGTTAAAAGTGGAACAAGCCTAGATACAAATTTACAGATAGATAGATAGATAGATAGATAGTTAGATACATAAACAGATAGATAGATATATAAATAGACAGATAGACAAACAGATAGACAGATAGATAGATAGGTAGTTAGATACATAGATAGAGAGACAGACAGATAGACAGCTAGATAGATAGACAGACAGATAGATACATAGTTAGATACATAGATAGGCAGATAGACAGATAGATAGATAGATAGATAGATAGATGGATAGATAGATAGATAAGCAGACGGATAGTTAGATACATAGATAGATAGATAGATAGATAGATAGATGGATAGATAGATAGATAGATAGACAGATAGATAGATAGGTAGATGGATGGATGGATAGATGGGTAGATAGGTAGATAGGTAGATAGGCAGGTAGGTAGGTAGGTAGGTAGGTAGGTAGGCAGGCAGGCAGGTAGGAAGGTAGGCAGGTAGGTGGTAGATAGATAGATAGATAGATAGATAGATACATAGACAGACAATGACAGACAGATAGATGGATAGATAAATAGACTCCGAACTAAAGCTTCGCTCCCCACCTGTCCAGGTGACGTGCATAAACAGTGCCCCCATCCAGCTGCCACATACCGCACATCTGGCTGATGCCCTTCTTGCCCTTGAGCACGACGAACCTTGCATACAGATGCATTCGTCAATCGACGGCAACCTTGTTAAGCTTTTTAAGGTCTAGGCCAGTCTGCCCAAAATCCTGTTGAAACCACTGTACTGCATAGGCTGGTCAAGCTGCTGAAACTCCTCAATAGGTTTTTCGGCTGTCATCCTGATCCTCGCACGGACACCGGGGGCTGACGAAACGACAGGGGACTTGCTTTTGCTTTAGCTGTCTCGCGTGCGCGTACTGCCCTCCATTCTTGGTTCACGGTTTCTGGCGTTTCCCTGCTCGCTCGATGTGTCAGTTTGCCTTCTCAACGGCGCCTGACTCAAAATCTTGGGCATTCGGTCAATCCTTCTGCCCGGGCTTCGCTGCCTGTCATTGCTTGCGGCAAGCACACGCAGGTCAAGAACCCGGGGCATGTACCTATTGACAGAAAGCCGCCACAACGTAAAGTGTCTCGACTCCCTGGGTCGGTCCTGCAAAGTTGGCGGTCTCGCGGAAAGTTCCGGAGGTCCATTGTCTCTTGCAGCTTGGCATCGAAGCGTATGCAAAATGAAGTGAAGCCGCCTGCTTCGTCGCACCAAAGGAGCCTCCGTGTCTCCACGGTCGCGTCTGCACCGTGCTTCAGGTTCAGGATGGTGTAGGATGGAAAGAAGTACTCATTCCAGTCTGGATCCTGGATTCCGAAATACTCACCCTTGCGGAGTGTTTGGACTCGCTGCTTCGAGTCGGACAGGTCGATAAACTCGACGTCCCCATTGGCATACATCTTGGTGATCACGACGTCGAGCTTGCGCAAATGAAGATTTGAGGTGCCCTTCGTTTCTCGAACACTTATCCGAGACTTAAAGTTCTTCAGGTCGGGATCCAGCCAACCTAGCTTCATCACAAATACCATGTGGAACCTCGGTGTCTGCATCAGACTACGTCTCAACAGAAAGCTATCTCTGCTGTTGCTCTCGCGGCAGCGGCTTCTAGGCAGCTGCTGTTGCTGCTGCTGCTGCTGCTGCTGCAGCAATTTTCGTACAGCCAGTACTATTGACGTTGTTCGGATCGCTAGTATGAATTCACTGCCAACAATCGGTGCTAGCGAAAAGATTGTATGGCTGGCAACAATGGTGCTTCAACCGCGACTGGCACGATGTCTTGTTTTCATGTGCTTAGTGGCTGCTACGAAGAGAAACGATGCCGTATCACTGTCAGCCTCGTGATTGTTATTGCTGCTAGGCGTGCTCGTGCTTCTCAAATCATCTGCTATGTCTAGCAGTACTGCTTTGTCGAAAAAAGGCTACATCGCACTTGGGGACTGTTGCTCAAACATTGTCCGTCCGTACATTCTGGCAAAACCTTTGTTGTTATCATGTTGCAGGTGCTTCGTCCTTCTAGCAACAAAAACAACTATCAAGTTTGACTGAGGTGGAATTCGCATAAGCACCAGTCTTCTCAATGGTCCGTTGAAACGAAACAAGCTCTCGCACCGAACCCGTGCCTGATCAGACTATTGACTATCATCACCAGATCTGTCACCATAATAATAAGTTGGTGCCACAATCAAGGAGGCTTGCCTTCATGGTATGCCTGTGATTACGGTCTCTAAATAGAAGTTCGGGCCTCTCTTTTCGTCCACCGCCGTCTGTTATCCGTGTGCTTCGACATGCAGCTGCATCCAGCTTAAAAGCCGGCATAGCTCAAATGTCTCTGGCAGAGATGGGCCGGAAAAGCCTCGACCCTGCAGCTGCATCCAGCTTAAAAGCCGGCATAGCTCAAATGTCTCTGGCAGAGATGGGCCGGAAAAGCCTCGACCCAGCCTTTTAAGCCATGGGTGGGCGGGCGGGAGCCGTGAAAGCTTGAAACGAAAGTTCTTTTCACTCACTTCTAAAGTACAGAAGTTCGGGCCTCTCTTTTCGTCCACCGCCGTCTGTTATCCGTGTGCTTCGACATGCAGCTGCATCCAGCTTAAAAGCCGGCATAGCTCAAATGTCTCTGGCAGAGATGGGCCGGAAAAGCCTCGACCCGTACCACCCGGAAGAACCCAGCACACGGACAAAGGCCTATGGCCAAAGGTAGCGCCAGCAATTGCTGGGGATGTTGTTTGTTGCCCAAATGTGAGCCTGAGCCAAGGTTCCAGGAAAAAGGTGGGCCAGTGCGAGCACCTTAGTTCGAGCTGTCTCCGGGAGGTCCATGATAAAAGTGGAGCTCGAAACTTCCTGGAGGTAGATCTCCATAACTTTATGAGAAGCCCATCTACCACGTCGGCGGACTAATTCAGAATCCTCTGTCAGTTGAAGAATCTGGGTAGCTCCGCCAGGGCGGAGGGACCCTAGGTCCAGAGAGCGACCTTGCGCTCCAGACTTTGGGATCCCCAAGCGATCCAGAATACTGTCCAAGCGCCTCCTGAGGGTCTGGTTCGTGAAAGGCCAGAGCCTAGCAGTCTTAGGCAGGTGAAGAAAAGCCAGGGAGGCGACCGAAACAAGGTCGCTGGCCTCCAGTTTCCCAGACTAGTGTTTCGCAGCTCTCCCTCGGGTCTTTGGTTGGTCAATACGCACCAATATAAATGACTGCATGAAGAGCGCGTCCTCGGGAAAAATCAGGTTTCCGCGGCAAGCCTGCGTGGCCTCGGAGATTCTCAAGCCAGGGCGAATATTCCCGCCTCACGTGTCCAGCCCCAGGCCAGGCATGTTGTAATGATCGCCATCAAAACAATCGGCGGCATCGCCACATGGTGTGAAGAAGGTTCCTCAGAGAGCCACGTAAAGGCCAAGTCCCAGGCAGCCTGACAGGAACGCCTGATCGCAGGCTTTCTGGCGGTCAGCCCATTTATAGTTTCAGAAAAATGCCAGTATGGGCGGCCGCTGTTGTAGAGGTCCCTGCCAAAAAGAACAAGGAGCTCGACAAAGCCTTCGGTGTCAAAGGGCCTCTCGGCGAAAGTCTCCTCAAGAGACTTTCCCACAACTTCCAGCAGCCATTGCGAGAACCCTGAAATCAGAACAGCCCTCCTAGAAGAAGTAGCAGCTTGCACCGGACGGCCAGGAGGAAGCGGGCGCAGACGACGGTCAAGACGGCGAAAGTCATCGGGGTTCCGGGGAATGAGCGTCCCGGTGCAAATCCAGAGGTGGAGAAAACCAAAAGCCAGGCAAAAGAAGGGGCCTTCACCAGGGAAGCCAAGAGTCTGGTCGAAAGCCTGGTGGCAAAGCGGCATATAGGAGAAAACCTCAGGCAGCGCCGCAAACCTCGAGCCTGAAGGGAAAGACCTCAGGGCCGATACTAGCCGAGAGGGGTGGTCAAAAGCGACCGTGAAGAGGACCAAGGCAAGACGAACCCAGTTTGCGCGGGGTCTGGGAAGGCCACGCAGGCTGCTCAGGTCACGAAGTTCTTCGCAGGAGAGGCCTGAGCAAACAGCTGTCCCAGAAGGCGTGCGCAAGGGAGCGTCGCGAGTCGGGTCGTCGGAGGGGTTCCACCTAGTCGGGCCGAACACAAGGCTTGTGTAGAGCCCCCCGGCGATCGTAGTTGCACCGACCCTCTTCAAAGAAGCACGCAGGAGGCGGGCGGAGGAGCGGCCCTTTCGGTGGGAGCCAACGACAACAGCGGAGTCGGAAATCAAAGCACAGCTGCGGTCGCCTCCTTCCAAGGCAAGCCTCTTATAGAATGACAAGGCGGCGTCACTCTCGAAGACATTTATGTGCCTTTTTGCCGGCCAACGCCACGAGGAGCAAACCTCCCAATTCGAAGTCAAGAGGACGTCGTCGGCAAGGGCGGACTCGAGTCCAGGTCTGGGCTCTACCTCAGGTCCCCGTCTGGCCTCCAAGGCAGAGCGGAAGAGGCTGGCCAGAACACGCTCGAAAGACGGGCCCGCAACCTGACAAGGGCTCCGGACGGCAAGCGGCACACCAGTAGTCAGAAAGCTGAGGTGGCAGGAGGCCTTGGCACCGCAAAAGGCCCGAGCCGAGGCCGCTCGGATTTAATGACGGCCTTGGCGGCCGGGAGTTCGAAGAAGAAGGAGTCCGCGGCACAGGCGAGGATGCAAGGTACCCCGCAGCGTTGGCAGAACTTCAGCAGGAAGAGGGCCCTCGAGGCAAGCCTGTTCTCAAGCCTAACCTTGGCAGGAAGGGGCCCAAAACCAGAAGGCCGGAGCTCGGAGCGGCAGCCGGGTCTGAAGGCGCGACTGAAACTCCCAGCAGGCATCTTGATGTAGAGGCTCCGGAGGCGCCCACGCGAAAGGAGGTACAGCAGCCAGTCTAGAACGTGGGCCCGCAAAAGGTCAAACTCCTCGCTAGTAGCCAGGGACACCCTGGGCCCAACTCTGAGTCCCAACTCCTGGGCTGCCTGAGAGACGCCACCTGTAGCAGAAAAGACCTCAACGAAATCGTAGTCCATTCCAAGGGGCCGGGCTTTCGCACTAGCAAGCTCCTTTGGCAGAGGGCTCTCTCCCGGGGGGCCATTGAAGAGTTCGGTGGGGTCTCGGGGCACGGGTCGTCGGGCTGAGGGGAACCAAGGCGGGTATGGCCTCCTTTGGTGTCCGAGTGCCAGACTGCCTCAGAGATGTCTCTGCCAACCCTGGCCCTACAAAAGGCGCCCTTCGCGAGAGACGCGTCGGCACAGTAGACATGGTCATCGTAAGGCACAGCAATGTTCGAGGCCAGGAGGGGCGCGCAGGCAGCAAGCAGGGAAAGTTCACAGGCAGCTTTCCGAGGCAGAGGCCGGGCTTCCCGAAGGATAGGCCTTCTTCGCTCCAAGCTTAAAAGCTGTGTCAAGGAAACAGGCAAAGGGCCGGCGGAACTGGATATAGGAAACCCAGGCCCCAAGCATAGAAGAAACAAGCTCCTCTGAGGTCCCTGGGAGGGCGGCTGCCTTAAGGGACACATAAGACAGCGCCAAGCGTCTCTGCAGAGGGGCCCCGACCAAAACGGCGCCTTGCTCGACAAGCCCAAGCTCCGAACAAACCTCGGCACCGGCAACGGTAAAAGTCAGAGATCCCAAGTTGTCTTTGTGGTCGGACCCTGCAAGCTGGGCCTCGCGATAGGCCTCCTTTGCCCGGAAAACACATTGGGTGGCAGCACTCGCTTGGAGGGCTCGGGAGAGAGCCTCACCTTCAAGGCCCTTGAGGCTGTCAGCATCAACGAGGCTGACAGCGAAAAAGTCATCTATCACGAGGGCTTCCGCACAAGAGCTGATTGGGGGAGGCCGGCTCGCAACGAGCCTCTTGCTTTCGGCCAACAACCCACACCCCTCTAACAAACCCTCGTGAGCTGCCGTGGCGATTTCTACTCCACTGTGATCGCCCTGCAGGATGGCTCGGAAGGCGCCACAAACGACGGGGTCCGGGCCATGAAGCTTGCAAACAGATCTCTGGTCTCGGCCTAGGAGGCTGTTTCTAGCAGAGCCCAGGCCCGCAACGGCCCTTGCAAGAAACTCGCCGTGTGCACGGGTGGCGCGAAGCTCGGACAGGCCAAGCGGCGGCCCCACCGCGTTGCTTGAAGTGCGCTGAGGTGTTGTCCAAATTTGGTGGTAGTAGTCGCTCCTGTCCGTGCTGGCACCGCACAGAGCACACCCTTGAGGCACCGAAAAGCCTGCCAGCAGAAAGCCTTGGGGCAGGTCTGAAGCTGAAGAAACGCCGCAAAGGCGGCCCTCCAAAGCATTGGGGCCACGGCGGTCCCCGATCATGCGGTCAGCGGACGGGGTTTTGTAGGCTCCGAAAATGCGGCAGAGGGACTTAGGGTGAGCAGGGGCCGGGGTTATCGACAAGAGGCCTAAGCTATCCCAAAGGGAGAAAACTTTGAGTATCTCCTCCTTGCTTTCCTTTGCAGTGTCAGGGTAGCACAAGGAGTTCTCGGGTATACCCCTTAGGACGGAGGGCTCACGGTAAGGGAGCAAAAGCTCGGGGCCCAAGTAGGCACTGACATCCCAATGGCCTCGGCCAGAAATCAGCAGCCGATCGGCGACTGCTTCCCGGTAGGGCTGCAAGGCAGCAGGGCCAGACTCATCATGAGGCACGAGGCCCTTCACTTCAGAGCAGCCAGGGTAGATGGCCTGGGAAATCCCACAGACCTTCAAGTAGGTGCTCAGCTCGTCCAAGCGTGCAAGCAGATGTGCTCCGCGCCGGCCCCCCGAAAGAGAAGAGTCAAGGGGCTGGCGGGTACTCGCCTCTATAAACAACCTCAACCTGGCAAAGACATTGCACTGCTCAGGGGAAGGCCGTCTCCGAAGAGCCGAAGAAGGCAGGGCCCGACCATCGGCGTGGGCGTGGTTAAGGGCCATCACGGCTATATGCAAACATCTGTCGACGAGGGTGCCAAGAAGGAGGGCACGCCTCACAGAGCGGCTGCATTGCTTCGGGGCTTCCCTGCTGAAGGCCCCCGGGCGGGGAACAGGCAGGGGGAAGAGAGCGGTTGGAGGAGGCGGCTCCCCCTCGTGGAAACGAACAGCAAAAGAAGCCAGCAGCAGTCGGCTGAAGCTGGTCTTCGCGGCCAAAAGCAACCTCGGCAAGGAAGCGGCCCACTTAATAAAACTTAATTTCTGCTCAAAGACCTCGGCGCGACGGGAAGATGCGCCGGGAACTTCGGGCGGCGTGCAGGGAGAGCTCTTCGGCTCTATGTTGCTTTTGCCTTCTTTGCAGCCCACAGTTGGGCCCGCAGCTGCTTTCGAGAGAGAGCTGCTTCGTCTCCCCCCGGGTCGCCTTTCGTAGGAAGGGCCGGCTTCGTAGGAGCCTTTGGCTTCGGGAGCTCGTTCCTCTTTGCCGTCAGAGCGTCGAGCTCCTTGACGTAGGCCAGGGTCGTGGCACTCTGGTCGGCCAAAGGGGAGAAGGGCCTCAGTGTCGTGGTAGGCGTCGTGGTGCGATCCATGAACAGACCATTCGGCGGGTCGGGCAGATGAGTCAAAAGCCAGGCCAGGTCCGGGCAACCATCTAGGGTGGTCTGCTCGAAAAACACCATCATCATAGCGATGGTGTCCGCTGCGCCCCGGGCCTCGCCCCGAGAAAGAAGATCCATTGCCAGCCCGCACTGCCACTGGGCCAGGCCTATTGTCCTGTCGCGGGAGTAGCCCCCGAACCTTTCCAGGTATTGGGTCATAGTGCCATGGGCGACAGAACCCAGCTGCGACCCAGCACCGCCTCCGAGGCTTGAGGGTCCATCCGGCGAGCGGCCGCCGATACAACCTTGTCGAAGAAGACTCCATCCCGGAGGGCAAGCTCGGCCCCTGCCATTGGTACCTCGCGTGGACAGAGATCCACCTCCGCTGGAGTCGAGGAGGGACTCGCCGCTCCCCGAAGAGAGCTGAGACACCAGGCTGGAGAGGGCCTTTGCCTGGAGCAGCATAGCCTGTGCAAGTGGCTCGCCTTGACCTTGCTGCAGCTCTTCTTGCATAATGTCTGGGAGGGCCTCTTCGCCTGGGGGCTCCATTGCCAAAGGTCCTTGCACATCCACGGCCGGGGCTCTTACTGGAGGAGGTGGCCCCAATAAATCGGAGAGACGCTTCGGCTTTGCTGGGGGCGGAGGCAACATCTGGTGAAGTGGGGCCGAAAGAATTGGCCTGCCAGCCTGCGCCTGAGCCTGGGCCTGCACCTTTGTACCTGAACCTAGGTCGGCCGGACCTTGGGCACGGGGGGCCTGGGCCCCGGCAGCTTGGCTGTCTGTCAAGGCCTGAACCACGAGGTCTTGCAGAGCGTTTTGCTGAGCAGCCAGGCCAGCAAGAGTAGGCTTCTTTCCCTTCTCGGCGGGACGGGCCTTTGCCTGCTTTCCTAGGGCAGGCCCGACAAGAGGATCGGCAGGCAACTCCTCTGCAGTCACGTAGCCGGCTGCACCACGGTTCCCGGGCCGGTCTCGGAGCCAAGCCAGGGATGCGGCCACAACCTCGACAGCCAAAGGAAACAAAGTAGGGTCGTCTGGGTCGAAGGCAACGTAGTCGACGGCGGCACCGGTCAAGGCAGAGAGGCAGCTGCACATTGAAGCCTCGAAGTCCACGATCCTGACCTGCACCTGCCTAGCTGGATACACCTGAGCCCAGTCTCCCGACTCGGTCAGGGAGATCGCTTTGCAGCTGGTAGCCAGGGAGGGCCCCAAAAGACCAACATGACCTGACTCGTCCGCGGCAGCCAAGGCTGGCTCTGACACAGCAGCCTGGGGCACAACCAACAGGCACCCGCCAGGCCTCTTGAGCACACAATAGCACACACAAGGCGAGGAGAGGCATTCTTCGAGCGCGGGGTCCCAAGAAGGATCCAGCAAGTAGAGGTCGACCTCGCCGGCCTCAGCAGGAGATAGACCGTCGAGGTCCATCAGGTCAAAGGCTGGGCAAGAAAGTCTTGATGCCAGCGGCGTCCAGGTAGACGCGGCACTCGAGCTCCGAAGGGAAGCCCTGAGACAGGTTGACCGTAGCACTCAGGTGGTCAACTGCAATGAGGTAATCCCGGAGGCTGTTGTAGATCTCTGGCGGGGACCCGTTCGAAGAGCGGGCGACGGCGTAGTGCTTATTAGGGAGGTCTAGCTTAGGGGTCGGGGGTGGAGTCCTTGCACGACCTTCCAGGACAGCTCTGGCCCAACAGCCAGCGGCCCAGGCACGCCTAACACGAGCCTCGCCTGAAAAACCTTTTGCTCGCAGAACCTTTGCAGAGACAAGCCAGGCAGAGGGAACCTCGGGGAAGCCTTCTTCAAAGGGCCTTGCACTAGAAGAACTGGCCGAAGGACCGGGCGAGGAACACTGAAAGTCAAAAGCAGAAGGGCCCGGGCAGGAAGATGAAGAGGCAGGCTCCTCTTCGGGCACGGGTTCGGGAATTAGGGTCGTAGCACTAGGGTAGGGCGTCGAGCCGATTCCAGGCTCGGAAGGCAGGGTCTCGGGATTAGAGCCTACCGAAGGGGCTGGGGCGCGGCTCCTAGTAACCGAAATGCTAAGGCCTTGAAAGTGAAGAGATATCTGCGTGATATCTTGCTCACCCTCGCTGCCCATACAAAGCGAGACGACGGCTTGAAGTCGAGGAGGAAGGCCTTGCGAGGGGTTGCGAAGGAGAGGGTCCCCAAGTCAGGGGGCGGAAAAGCCAGAAGACCAGGCCGGCCCCAAACAGGGCTCCAACCAAGAAGGTGAGGATGATCAGGGGGCCGTCCGGCTGCACGCAGTATACAGGACACCGGTATCCCCAAAGGTTGGACTTCGCACCCTCAAGGAAAAACCAAACCCACTCAAGGCCCTGGGGTCCCATTCGAGCCGTGAAAGCTTGAAACGAAAGTTCTCAGCACTCACTTCTAAAGTACAGAAACAGTGACGTGTTGGTGTTTCTGCCGAGGAAGCTGTTCATTGTTGTCATCGACGCTCTTCAACTCGTGTGCAGCTATGTCCACATAGACCTGCCGAATTCTGGTACTTCAGAGGCTCTTGACTCGAGGCGAGGGATGCAATGGTGCGAGATTTAGGAGCCAAGGTCTGATTTTGACAGTGTCGCACCTTGATAGCCTTGGAGCAATCCACTTCAGTGCCTCCGCCTGTCTCTGTCCACTTCTGTGTGTATCTCTGGAAAACCTGAGTGCAAGAAAGAGAGCAAGATTTATAGTAGTAATAACTATGACATAAAGGTCTGCCACACGCGAAAAGCAAGAAAACTGCACCAGAGGAGGCACACCATTCTCGTAGCCCTCAGGGGCAATCCCGGCCTGAAGTGAGATCGGGAGCATGCCATTCAAAAGCAAACACTGGTTTTGGTGTTTAGGGTTTAGGTCAACTTGTCACAGCTGCTCCAGGGATTCTACCGTGGACGATTTCCGGAAAGATCGGAAAGATCAGAATGCATGGCAAGTTCGTTCTGTGGCGGCGATGGCAATCCACGCACTTGTGCGAAAACGCCGGCTTGCTAAACTGGGATACTTTTCAAGGAGCGGCTAGCAGAATAAACTCGCCTTTAAACACTAGCACCTTTCTAAGCAAAACCGCCGTGGCATGAGCATGTCTCGCTGCACGATGGGCCAATTAAGGCAGCATCTGCACCGGACATTAGCAAAGCATCGACCACGGGAGGATGAGGTAGCGGTGCCTCCGAGCTGGAGCGCGAAGTCGAACTAGAAGTGACGGAGCTCGAGCTGCTGGCAGATTGGTCCATGGCAGGTCATACTCGTTCACATGCCCAAACTTCTTAAGCTCTTCCGCTTCGCACAAGGTGCTTGCTGGAACGGGGAGTGCCCGGGCAGAATGTCTCAACCGGGCTGTGCAAGATGACACTGATCTGCTTGTGAGGACACCCGGACAGCCAAAGATACGGTCTATTGATGGGATGCATTCCGCACTTGTTCAGGCCACGAAACCTGCCAAATCACTGGACTGCCAGCAAAGCTTCACCATGCGCTAGTTGGAATGACAACAGTTGAAAATGCGCACTGCAAGCAGCGAGAAGTGGCGACATGCATACTGCTTCGCTCTCTTTTTCCACTGTCCTATTGCTGCTGCCATCTGGAAACTCAAAGCTACAGTTGCCTCAGCAGTGTCACAACACACTGTCGGTCAACTGGCCTGCAGTCGTGGGCTGTTCGTATACGAGTCAGCTACAACAAATTTGATCACAACGAGTGATTGAAAAGATGAACCAACGGGAAACCGAACTCGGCTCAGGAACTCTGCCAACGTTTGAAGGTTCAGCAGTTAAGGTTTTACGGTTCTGGGTTTAAGGACGAAGGAAAGCCAATGCCAATAGTATACGAATATACAGAACAAAGGAAAGTGTTTAAGAAACTGAGGACAAGACTAGAACAGACGAGACTTGCATCGGGCTGGATTCGGCTGGCGCGGGCTACACAACACCGTCCCTCGCTGTGTCCGATGGTTCTGTTCAAAAACCCGAAAAGCCCCTAAAGCCCTAAAAGCCCTAAACCCCCAAACCCCGAAGCCCCTTAGTCCGATGCCCGATGCCCAGAGCTGTTTTCTCCCCAATGGGGCTTGGGGCTGAGCGATGCTCGGCCAATCTTTGGGCACTTTAAGTCGCTTGGTGCAGAGGGAAAGTCTTGCGGCTTCACAAGAGGCTCATGGTCGACAGGAGTCAAGTAGACAGTCTCGGCTATGGTACGACATTCTGGACAGACTTTTGTGTCCTTGTGCTCACATTGCTTACTCAGCCATGCATTCCCACACTGTGAACACCGCTTCATGGGGAGATAGGGTTCGCGACGGTCCTGGTACACGCTTCTCCAGTCATGTTGAGGCTTGGACCGTGAGAACCGTCGAAGAAAATAGTTCAGAACGAGCCATGCAACCAAAAGAGCCATCCCAGTGCATCTTTCGATCAGTACTGAGTTCGCAACCAAGCCATCGACATATTGTAGCAGGACCGTTTGGACCACGATGACCACTTGAAGTCCACAGGCAAAGATGACATACCAATCAGCTGGCGTGAGGTACGCTTTCCGCGGCAACATGTCCCCAACGATATAACGATATGCCATGATGGCCAAGAAGCAGGTACTCAAATGCGCCAGCCTGCCACTGATATCCTCAAGCGGAATCATCAAGCTACAGAGGCTGACAATGATCACGAGAAAGACCATGAAGAACATCGAGCGAAAGTAGAGACCACCTGCTCATGCCGGCGGAAGTTAACTGCAAAGCCATCCTAAACCCAGAATCTACTACACCACGAACCCAAACTCGAAACAGGGAAACCTTTCCGCTCCAAGTGGAACACGGCGTTCACGCAAGAACGTTGGTTCGCAAATGGCAGGTACCTGCACAAAGCCCGAATTCAGGATAGCTGACAGTTTTGATTTGCGCGGTACGGGAAGCACCCGCTGCATGTATCGGCCGACTCAGGCTTTAGTTCCACGCGGCTGGGATGCAGGGTCAATGGGGTTTGGGTTCAGGGATTAGGGTTTCAGTTAAGGCTTAAGGTTTATAGGCTTGAAAAATGGTCTTACAGGTTTGCGGCCCCATATGTTTCTTCGCAGAGCTTGTATTCGTTTCGTGCAAGACAAGCACCTGTCCAAGTGGCGAACATAGACCGAGCACTTTGATTGGATCTCCTTGTCCAGGACCCACATGTCACACATCTGCGGCTGACGGGCCGTACTCTTCAGCGGCACGAACCTGAGGGATCGGAGGGTCCTACTACAATATACCCCAGAACCCTATCAAAACTATTAAGGCCCCTAAATTAACCATCAAGCTGCTGGAACTCGTCGACGGTCTTTTCGGCCGTCAGCCGAATCCTGCACTAATTCATGGTACAGGTGTGGGAGCGCGAGCATTCAGAGACCCTTTCAGCCACTAGCAATTCCGCTGCACTGGAGGGCTTTCATTTCAAAGGATGGTGCCCAAGGAAGCACAAGCACGTGCTCACACACGCTATGGTGACTTCGTTCATGCTAGAGGATGCAAGGCTGGTGTGACATGTTGTCAAGATTACTGTTTAGATTGCATCTGTGGATGTGGGAAAATTGCTCATCTTGGTGCCACATGCTTTTCTGCGGGACGTAGCTGACCAGGCTGAGCATCCCATCCACAACCGTCGCTTCGTTGCACAGGGTCGTTTGTAACGTAGACTAAAAGGGATCACAAAAGGTTTCAAGTTGCGCGACAGCGGGCAATGACCCCTGTCCACACCAAGAACAGCGCGCGCACACACACACACATGTACATATATACATACGTGTATATAATATATATATATATACATATATGCATATATAAATGTTCACGAAGATCGTATCATGTCCGGTTCTTGAGGCTGTTCAGCACCATGTCGTACTCTCGTGGTTGGGCCTGCCGGCTGGTTGCGTGACCAGAAATACTTTTGTGCGCGCAGCTGTATAAGCCCCCTTGCTACAATCCTTGTGCAGCCACTTGCAAATGCAGTCGTCGCTACAAGGCACTCGTTTACAAGCTTTGACGAGGATTGCTGACTCGGCTTGTCAACATACTTGCCTTACGTGGTAGAAGCCGAAACGATGCACAGCCAGGAAGGGTACCTAAGCCCTTAGTTTGGAAAGCGACATCGTCCTGCACAGCTGAAGATCTTGGGGAAAGGCTCTCAGATCGAGCTCCTCCTTAAACTTCGCGTCGTACTTCACCGTATACGAGACGAAACCTCCCTCCTCCCCACACCAAAGCAGCCTTCTAGTCTCCAAAGGCTGCACAGCATCGTTCTGCATATTAAGAAAAGTATATGACGGGAAGAAATGTTCCTTCCACTCTGGCTCCTGAATGCTGAAGTAATCATGCTTGCGCAGGAGCTGACGCTTCTGTGAATGGTCCGACACATCAATAAACTCGATGTCGCCGTTGCAATACATTTTCGTGATGACAACGTCCAACTGGCGCAAATGAAGTTTGGTGAAACCGCTTCTCTCGCGAACAGTGATGCTTGACTTGAAGTTTTTAAGGTCGGGATCGAGCCAGCTGAGCTTCAGCATGAAGACCATTTGGAATCTCGGATCTTCGGTAAAAGCTAAGAACATTACACCAAACAAGAAAGAAGAGTTGGGATACTGTGGTCGAGACGGGCTGCGTGCCTGAAGGAACCCCCTCTCTCATTTGCCAAAGAGCTCCTCACGATGATCATCCACATTTTTCAGCTCATGTGCGACCATGTCGATGTAGACCCTGATAGCTTTAGAGCAATCCACTGGAGTTCCACCGCCGCTTTTGTCGCAGTTCGGGATATAGTCCCGAAGTACCTCGGCTTGGCTGCCGTGCCCCGAAGATGCAAAATCATCGCCTCTCAAGGCAGCCCAAAGGCGTGATGCCACACCGACCAGCCCCAGATCCCTTATGCAACTATAGCATCGTTACAGCCACTGTCCCATCCCAAGTTGACTGCTCCAAGAGCCGACGAACGGAGCCCCGAACAAGCCACAGCCCGTGGGCAGACCCGACACCCCCAGAAGACTACTCCAAGTGCGAAACTCACCGGCTTTGGCAGAGGCACACACCTGTCGTCATCGCCTTCTGCCTCCAAGTGCAGATCCGACGCCATTGCACAAAGGGCTCCGGGAGTCGAAGAGAGACGGATCTTCGGGGCTGAGGTTGAGGGTTCAGGCAGTTCAGGGCCCTCAGGGTTCAGGACACCCGCGGGCATCCGGGCTCAGGATTTCAAGCAGGCAGCTTCCGTGCGGGGCTTTGCTAGTGGATCCTCTCTACCCGGCCTTGTCTAAAGACCAGTGCAAGCCAGTGGACCGGCCAGGGAAAACATCATCGTCCTTTCATCCTGGTCCCAAGAATCATCATTGCCGATGTGCGGGCTCTCAACCCGACCCTCACTCACGACAAGAACCAAGCTTCGTATCATAATACTCATCACGCCAACAGTTGCAGGCTTGGCTGTCATCATGAGAACTGCTGCCGTGGTTAGAACTTTGCTTTAAAGTCTGTGCTTCTATTGCTAGCATTGCTCTCCCTGCCCTGATGCAGCCGGCACATGTCCCTTTCACACCACTACGACCTTGTTGCTAGTAGTGGCGATAGCTATTGTTGTCAGTACGGACAGTCGCATATCATTGCCGTTACTACAACAGCACCTTCACATGTATGATTGCCCTCAACTGTTTTCTGCAGTGTCAACGATGCTACTCTAATTACTCTAATTATCGTTGCCCAGATCGCTGCTGGTTCTAATGTTCATCTTCATCTTCGCCTCGGTGAGAACTAAAGTTACTAAAGACGACCCAAGTGAATCTCCTGCGGAACTACGTCATAGCTCGAGCACATTCCGAGTTCTAAGAAGACTGGTGACTGGCTCGCAGAACCCCCGAAACTTCGTCCAAGAGTCTGATCTAACATTTCCAGCCTCAACGATGACCGCATGCCTGCTTTCGCTGTGAGACAGTTATGTGCTGGATTCCTTTGCTCCCTTACGGGACTCCAGCAACTTAAAAGCCAGAACGCTACTGTCGGCACTGGATTTCACTGCATCTCTATGTACGACCCGAAGCAACCATTCTGAAGCCCTCAAAACCCTAGGCCTGGCCCTTGAACCGAAGCCCAAACTCTAGAGACCTGACCAAAATCCTTCACACTCCAAAAACCCTACAACACTTCACACAGTCCAAACACTTCTCAACTCGAAGATCTGCTAAACTGTTAAACCCTCTCTGGACTCCACCCGGCCAGCTCGGCCAGTTTCCCGGCGGTGACCACCTGCAGGCCGCGCGCCTGCAGCTGCCGAAGAAGAGTCTGCAGGCCGAGCCAACACCATTCCTTAGGGTTTAAGAGCGGTTGTGGGTAATTAGCTCTAAACCCTCAACGTAGCAACCCCTCAAAGATCACCTTCGAAAAGGAGGGAAGGAAGATGCCTGAAGATGGCCCAGACTCGCGAAAGCCGTGCTCGGGCATGTGCAGTAGAATGATGGAGCCGTGCTCGGCCCGCCTCGCCAAAAAACGGCCTATGAAGTCACCATCCTGAATCACGGGACAGCAGGCATAGGCGTCGCACATCAGAACCTTGAGGCCCCTGTGCTTCACGATTTCCGCCATTGGGGAGCTCATTTGGCCATGAGGAGGCCGAAACCAGCGAAATGCGGAAGAAATTCCGGCACGTCGCTGCAAGTCGCTAATTTGCTCTGAGCACTCGTCGATCATCTCCTCACACTCTGTTGCAGAGGAGGCCGAGTAGCTCTTGTCCACAAGGCCATGATTCCCCAGCTCGTGTCCATCTCTTAAAAGGTCAAGGAGGTCGTTCTCACTACCAGAAACAAACTTCCCCAGGAGCATGAAGGTGGCCTGTGCCTGATGCTCTTTCAGAAGCGCTCGAATCTCAGGCAGCATGGAATTCTTTGGCCCGAGGCGGCATGGGGCATCGTCAAAGGTCAGCGCCACGTAGCCCCGAATGCCCGGATGCTTCTCAACATCGAAATAACAGAGGGAATCCGCCGAAACGCGTGAACCAAACCAACTGATGGACCTTCTCCAAGCAACCATGTCCCAGACAAGCTGCAGAGCCTGTGGAACTCCTGGCAGCCGTTCAGCTGGAATAAAAGCCACATCTCCCTTCTCCAAGGCAGCATAAGGGGGCTGAACATCTTCAAAGCCTCTCTTAGCTGAGAGTAGCAGCATCGCCACCCCAAGACCTTTGGGATCCACAAGAGCCGAGGAGCAAAGCTTCACCTCACCCTCGGGGCTCACGAGCACCTTGGAGGACCAGAGGCCTCGGTAGCGAAGCTCCGCCTCCTCCCGCTTCTCGAACTGCTCCCAGCGCACGGCGGAGAGGCAGTAGCCCAGCTTCCAGGTGTGAGGCTCCAGCTCAGAAGCCGCTCCCGTCGACGCACAGGTGTCCGCCATGCCCCCACATGTGTGCCCAAGCATGAGAAGTCCACTAGTAGTGTATCCTATACTTCTATCTGTGGTATCAAGGAAACAAATCTGCGCATCCGCATGGCGGAGCGAGTCGTTTTTACCCCCAGCCAATGAGACCAGCGAACACTCCACTCACACCATGCCACAGTTTGGAACGCTATCATGCGCTATCATCAACCCTTGGGAGTACTGACTGAAGAATCACTATCACTATCACTGTACATGATGGATGGGAAACATCTGCAAACACGGAGCTTAACAGAGAAATTGCCAGCAAACTAGACCTGTAAGCCCACATGAAGATGTGACAGCTGGGAATGCCAAGCTTTGGCTCTTAGACCCTACCCTCGACGAGAAACAAAGCTGGAACCCTCAGCTATGCAGAGAAGAGTTGAAGTCTACTTCTCCCTTTAGCCCCAGCTGCGCCTGCAATGCCTGCAGCCAACGGGGTCCCACCTTGGTATGTTGTTAGACACAAAATAATCGCTTGGGAATCAGCGATGCATGACAAGAGTAGATTTCATGCTTCCACCGTTTGGAGACGGCTTGTGTAGGTCGATGCTCACATAAGTCTGGCTGGCCGAGCTTTGGGCTTGGCATTCCGGGCGGATCACAACTGCTCAGTGCTGGGGACACCGCGGCAGCAGGGAAATGCGAGCGGCAACGAACTGACAGGAGGCCCTGAGATGCCGAGCCGAAATGATGATCTCACCCTCAGGACACTTGAAGGCAACATATTTTCCTTGAGCTCGTGCAACTTTCACCTGTGATTTAACTGCTGAGGCGATCTGGAACCATGCAAGTCGCAAAAGATGGTGCAGCTTGGGCGAAGAGGCATGTGGCAGACAAAGCGGATATCATTTCTCGACACACTGCAGGAAACTTCTCTCAGGCTTGGTGCTTGACTCAGCTGGCCTTCGTTTCTGAAGCTTCTTGTACTCTTTGTTAGAGTCTAGAGCATCTGCCGACGAAGATCGAAAAAATTGGCCTATGAGACACGTAGAGCCAGAATGTCCAGCCGCATCCAGAAGTTGTGTTTTTGCATGGACAACGAATATGCATCTGAAACTGCAGTCGAAGAAGTTTCTTGGGAGCACCACAGACAGACCAGAGCATCCACAGAGCCCAGTTCGAAAAAAATGGGTTATGAGCCGCTCAAAGCCCAGACTCGTCCGCAATTGTGTTGTCTA